TCGTAATGTTTATACATTCGCACTCTACTACCTTACTTCTCTATGATAGTTTGCTAGATCGGAGATATAAATCTCAGCCGTAGCTCCCGTTGGTCGCACTCGCCGGGGGGCGCACGATTCACGCTGACCGGTCAATCTATTACAAAGTGCGCTACTGAGCTAACACACTTATTATCCGGAACACTTTAGGAATGTTTGTGCAATAAAGTAAGTAATTATATGCATTTTAATTAAAAATTATATTATCGAAGGGATTAAATACTTATCCTCTTACATAAAATTTGTCATGTGCTGCACTTATTGTTGTGCCTAAGCAAGATTTATTGTAAACCATCGATATGATTCACTTTAATCACCGTTGTCGATACGCATTTACATTACGATAAATAAACTACTTATATCAATTTACATTGAAATTGTAACCATACTTCATTGTGTAAAAGTCTACAAGCCATTTTTAAACCGCTCCTCCGTGTAGTATATTAATTTATTATCTCGACACTGCGATTGTGTGATAGCGTCAGCGCTGCGATTTGTCGACATGTAGCATTACATGCAGCGATTTGTCGTTGCCGTCGTCGGGAACATGCCTCTCAATGTGAATGAAATTCTAAGCATCGATGAAAAATTTAACAATGTAGGTTTATCATTTATCTTATTTGACTGTGGCTAGTGTTAGTTTAGATATGTTGGACAGGTTCATGGACGTGGGCAGACAGGTGTTAAGGATGACCATTTCTGGAAGATAACTACATCGCAGAGCAGAAGTGTATCTATTAATTAATTGCTAGGCATTGAAAGTTTAAATGTATTTATATCTTTATTTATATTATTTCTGTTAGTTATAATGTGTAGAATGTAGATACAAACATTGTGATAAGCACATGATAAAATAAGTTATTTCTTAGTAACTCTGAACACAAAGGATGCATAAAACTTACAGAAGTAAGGTTTAGACGAATACCAGTTGAGTTACAATGTATAGTTAGTGGGTCAGTGGCAGTCGTGGAGAACACCGATAAATCTTGGTCGGTACCTTCGCGTGCAGTGGCCATGTTAACATCGGTTTGTGACCAACAACTGAACAACGAAAGCGCTCGATTTAAATGTAAATATTGCAATTAGAGCCTCCTTACACGCCTTGCGCGCCTAGTATCCGTGGCACCGTTAGCTAGGATCGCAATGATATCGAAGCCACCTCTCCCCTATTCAGTATTGACTTATTGCAATGTACTATTTAGGTAAGTTTATTCAGTATTCACCAGTCTTAGTTATCTCTTTCTCCCTATATTTTTGTGAAGACCATTCTGTTGTTAATGAACCTTATTACCTCATTTAGAAGTTCGATGATTGCAAAGTAAATTGCTAAACACGAGCTAATGTGTTCGTTCTCCAGGAATGCTCCATACAGCCATAATTACGAAACTCTTAGGCTAATCTCCCGTGTGTTATGAAACTGACAACATAACTAGTGAAAAGCAGATGTAATTTTAACTGAAGCTGTTCCTACTTAAAGTAATACGTACAGTCGTACAACACCCACCGCCGATGTGGAAGTCATTGGAGTTCATTGAAAGACGTTTTGTGACTGTTATGATAATGCTGACAGTAAAACGAAACTAAATCCTTGAAATAATATACCATAATATGTGTTTAACACTTTTTAGAATGATCATTAAGTTTATTCTACTTACGCACGCAGTAAAAATATGCCGATAAGACCAGTGGTATGACTGATTTGGATTTCAAGGTAATAATAAGTATTAGTGCGATAAAGGTAATTTCAATGTCTACGCGTCCGTTTCTATACAACCGTGACATTGACCGGTACATTCGAAGCACTATACGGTAATTAGTTTTTGCACAAAATTAAAAAGAATTAAGGTTTCATGGTTTACGTTCTTTCTTTTTTCAAATATTAAAAATTAATTAAAGAAATGGTTTACGCTAATACGTAGATTATAAATGCATAAAAAATTGTCGCTGCCGTTGTCACGTTTATAAATCATCTGAAAATCTCTAACAGCGGAAAATAATCAGTATGCCTATGCTATGTGCCTAACTCCCCTTCCTAATAAGAAATTTGAGTCACCAATATTTTCTACCGTGGGTTGTGTATCAGTTATTCATTTATCCACAACTAACGAAATAATATTATATTGAATCCTATCCTCATTATTTCAACTCAGTGCTATCCCTAACTAATGCTACATGTCTAAAGAATAGAAAGGAAGTCACTTCCATGTTTTATGTAAATAGGAAATGAATAAAATAAAGTGAAAAGTTAATTGTAACAGAAAGAGACACTTGAGATACCGTTTATAGCACAATTTTACGATGATTCTAGTAATCCACAGCTGCCGTGTGGAGTAGTAATTAGGGTTCATGATGCTATGAAACCTAGGTAAATACCTACATTTTAGCTACTTACGTGTTATTTGCTCTATTAGTAATTAATTTGTTGTAAAGTAATTAAATTGGTACATAATTTTATGTGAAATTTAAAGTATTTTATGTAAGTCTAAGATAAAAACGACTTAATTTGCATAAATAATTAGTAATTAGTAATAAACACAATCATTAAGTACAGGTCGAATTTTGTGCAAACTCTGAATGAAATTTGTTAAAAATCTAGTTTCTGAAAAGTTTTCTCCATAGAAATAAAGATAGTAGCATTATCCAAAGCCACTGTCTTAATTTCGTATAAAAAATATGAACTAGATACCTCAAAGTCTTAAACTATTTCATTCACAAATTTTTCACAGGCAGTCAATTGATAGGTCTCCAAATTGAATATGCCGTTCCTACATACCTGTAGCAGTGGATGTACTGAAACTGGACGTACCGTTTCACTGGCAATATCGATTCCCGTCGATGCCCATTGTATCCATACCGGTAACCACTAATGGGTTCCAGGCTGGCATAAGATTTATTCCTATCTTATCTGAATAGATTGCTCTCAGTTATAGATTAGTACCAGAATATCGCATTTGATTTGCTTGCAACCCCACTAACTCCGCACTCCATACATTGTTAACTATTTCCTATTTAGTAAGGATTCCGGTTCAACTGATTGAATATTTAAACCTACATGATAGCAAATTGAGTTTAACTGCTATCTGTAAAGGTTAATTTAACAGTTACCTCGAGGAATGTATTGTTATAATATCTGATGGTTTAACGCAAATGTTCCTATTTGCAGTAAATCTGCAATTGCTTCGAGATTTCGGTCAGTTAAACTTAGGGTTGCTTAAGTTTTACCGACTTTATAACAGTTTATGTTTATTGTTAAGGTAATTAAACATCAATAAGAAGTTGCTGACTTATGAGTTTTCGCTCAGTTATTTTAAACAATGAATTTCATTTTAAACTTAGAATACTGAAATGACCGTTATTTAAAACTTATATCTTTTTACGTTAGATAATAAATAGTAGGTAAATATTTAATGATCACCATTTTATTTTAAATCTTCTACAAACTTTTCAATGCATTCTCATGCATCGTATGCTTGTATACCTAGGTCACAGAGTGCTCATCATGCAATCATGCAGAGTAAGTAGGTATATTCAGTATCGCGGCGGAAGTAGCGATAGTTTAAAAATAATCATAAAACTCATCACCATCTTTGTAGTCGCTTGAGATAGCGAGTATAAAACAAACAATCAGATATAAACATGTTTTTTTATTAGTTATTAGATGAGATCGCGATGAGAGTAAGAAATTCGCCGCTCGCTCGACTTAACGAGCGTCAAACGGAAGCGAGGCATAAACTGCAATTACAAGGCCATACAACAGGCATATTGGTCATAATTATATGTTTGTTAACCATAAAATCGTGTATAATACAAGCACACTGTCATCATTATGTAATAATTATAAAACTCACCACAATCTCTGAACATATTCAATTATAAATAAAAGAAAAATCATAAATCTTTTCATTTCATCTTTTACTCACTTCTCGGTACTACGGAAATGACATTTATTATAACCTTTTTATATTGATTTCGTATTAAGATAAAGTTAATGAATTCAATTCACTCTGCATAAGTACTTTATGTTATTTCGATTATAGCCAGGATATTTTTATGGATAAAGTAATGAAAATTAATAATTAAATTACCATAATATCAAAGATTTTCTTTTTATATTTAATTAAAAGTTTATATTTACAACGAATTATTTATTTATTACACTGTCAATATAAAAACATTCTTTTATTACATACATACATTCATTAATATTTACATCGAAAATATTAGTAAAATAATTTATTGTGAAAGATATTGAGAAACAAGATACCAATAGAATAGATAACTGTATCTATTGAGACCGAAGTGTCATATACCTGTGTAGTGTACCCGTGAGGGGAATATTAATGAATACAAATCTGGGTTCACATATTCACATATTTAAGTGTAAAATTATGGTCCCACGGTGATATGAGACTGAGACGTGGTCGTAAAATGCAAGGCGGTACATGTACCATGCGGCTTGTCTTTTCAATGGTAACCGAGGTCCTGTAGTCCTGCAGGATAGTTCCGTGTCACACACATCAAACCTCCATAATTCACTGCGAAATCGGGTTTTAAAACGCCGAACTCCAGTAAAATATACAGTTAAATCATAATGAAACCGATAAAACCAACTTTTAGTTATCTTGGCCAAGAGAAATCCTAATATTGCTGCATTACTGGTCAATTATATTATTGTCTAGACAAATAACAATCAGGTATATAATAAAACGATTTCTCCAATATATTGGCAATATACGTGACATCAAAGAATAATACATAATACATAATATTACTGCCACAATTATAAAAGAAAAATTCTGTTAGTTATGAACGAAATGAAGAGTTTGTTAGCATAAAGACGCATTAATATTTGAAGTTCTAGTATAAGTCCAAGTGCTATAAATAGACTTATATATAATTTCCAAGTGCCATAATTAGAGTTCATACTTAAATGACTAAAAATTTTTTTGTTTTTGTTTCAGTTGCGTCGAACATAACGTCCAAAAACGACTAAATAATAAAGGAACAATTAACAATAAGGTAAGTTTCTTATGTTAGTTATTACTAAAAATACGCCTGAAAATAAATAAATAAAGTATTAGTTCATAAAGGACCCTTAGAAGTTTAGGATAACTTAAGAATATACTTATTATTAGTTAAACAGCATGATATTAGAATTATTTCTAGTACCTAAATAATGTCGCACCCTATAACCAACTAATAAAATGAGGGTGATATATAAGTATATATAAAAAGTGCACCTCTGTCTATCCCTGGAGGGGATTAAAGGCATGATATTACGTGAGTTATGTAAATAGACATCTGCTGATCTCTTAAAGGCATAACAGCGTTATGGTGTATTTATCATTCATGAAAAATAATCACGCGCCGCGGGCTCGGCGCGATGTGTAACTAAGTTAACGATAGTAAAGCTACGAGCCATTGTTCTCATCATAATTATGACTAATAACAGTTTGCTTTAAAATAAATACTTTTATAGTAAACTGTATAATATCTTTTCTGCATCTGGCGCCAGTTATTACGATCTTGTTAAGCCAGTCAGCCCATTATTCTTATATTACAATTTATTAATCAGGTTCTTAATCCGTAGTAGTGTTAACGACCAGTAAATAGATAGATAATATTTATTATCGTTATACTTAGATGTTGAAAAGCAAAATAAGCTTGGGGCTAAAACAAAATAAAATTGAAATAATGACTTGTAAGAACACTGTATGCGGGTTTACAATTTAATTATTGCTTAAGGCCTGTGTTATAGCTATTTAAAGAATGCATTGATAAATAATGATAGTTTTGTGTCATATTATTATCTGAATGATATTCGGTGCCGTAGACATATTAAAATGGTAAGTCCCCTCTTTGAGGAGTGGCTTGAGAGACGCTACGGCATCCTCACTGAACATGGAAGTTTCGGGAGGTACCTGTGTCTGATGGGGCGGAAGGAAACGTCTGGGTGCCATCACTACGAGGACCGCCCTGAGGACACGGTGGAACACACAGTGGGAGAATGATCTGCGTGGGCTGAGCACCGCCGTGTCCTCAGGGAAGTGATCGGCGATGGCGACCTCTCGCGTCCGGGCCTAGTGCAGGTCATGATGCGGAGCGAAGGGAACTAGGATGCCGTGTCCTCCTTTTGCGAAGCAGTTGTGCTGGCTAAGGAGGAGGCGGGACGCGTGAGGCAGCGAAGCGCCGCCGCCTCGCAACCCAGCCATCGCGAAGGACACACCGGGCGTAGGGGATCGCGGGACGATCTCCGGCCACCGTAAGCGCGGATCTGCGGACGTCGAGCATGGGTGGCTCCCCGTCCGACCGGAAACAGACCCAAGCGTACAGCGCGTCGCGTTCCTCTCGCGCCTCAAAGAGCCACCACAGATGGGGCCCAACAGGGCCGATGCCGATTCGGAGTCGTGGAGAACCTAACGGGTTACCGGGGCTCCGGCTTGACATGCAGGAGAAGGAGCGGGGTGGTTTTTAGTCAGTAAGAGTTTGACACACACAAAAAAAAAAAATACATCTTAAAACGATTTTTTTATGAGACATGTTCTCTATGACTTCCTGAAAGCCAGGTTCTATAGTAAATGCAACTATAAAAAACTAGAACACCGTAGTCCGGCGCGTTTTTTTGTTATATGTATTTAAAGGGCCACTATCTCGCCTGGTGGTAAGCGATGATGCGATCTACGATGGAACACGTTCCAGAGACATGAATGTCATCGCAGATGACACAAAATAAATCAGAAGATATTGTTAGATAAGAATTAAAGAGAAAAATGTTGATTATTACTTATATATATCTATTTGGTAGTTGCTTCTTCTTGGTACAACTTCTAAACAATAGGTACAATATTCGTGTGTTGACACGACTGCATTATTTGCATAATTATATTCTAGAAACCACGTCATTGCAATGACCATAATTTAAGACGAATGATGCCAACATTCCACACTGCTATTATTAAAACCGTTGCCATAGCAACATAAGAATACTATGATCTTGATCAATAATGGATGTGTCGTAACTGAAGCAATACCTGGCGTGCTCTAGTAAATGATTAGTCATGTGAACAGATTTCAATCGCTTTCCCCTTCATCTGAGCAAAGTGTTCAAGTGTTCGAGCCTTCATGGAAAAATTCACGGTATTTTCCTCATACCTATGCGTGAGGAAGGTTATCGTGTACTTGCGTGTGCAAAAATGTTGGCAATAAATTCGATTTGCTTTTGATAAATAATATAATGTTCGCGCACTGTTGCCCTTTTTATGAATTCGTGAGGTTGTCCTCAACGCATCGGAGATCCATCGCGCGCTTTAGTGCCCTAGTGCCCTATTACTTACTCATAAGATATCATTATTTGTTAGATTTTTATTGTTTTTTTTAACGTGAAATGTCATTTTGCAGGCAGGCATGGGTTAATTAAAATCAATCCAACTAAACACGAATAGATTATACTGTTACTCTTTATTTTAGCCATCTACAATATAAATAATTTCACTGCAAATAATTAACTAAAAGGCAATTAGTAGGTAGGTAGTAATTAATAAGCTATTCATTAATATTAGATTAGAACGAGTATGCACGCACTCGTATGAGTTGAGCTATTGTAATTACCGCGGGTCACGTCAAACCTCGCGTATAAATACTCCATACTTACCTTATTGATTGATTTAAAGTTTGCCATAATTCTCTGTTCACACGGCCCTTGTTGGACGGTAATTGTTATTAATATTAAGGCACGGCTATTAATTTCTAGTAACGATTAAGGGCATTGTAACTGGTGGTTTGTTTTTCTTTGTTTTTAGAGATTTTCTCAGCGGCCTGGTAAGCACAGTCTGTGTAGTCATGTCTTATCTAAAAAGGAAGGTTTTGTGCAGCGGTGGTACATACAAATGAATGTCAGAGTAAATAGTGACTACATATTTAATAGGCGATAATTTAAGCTAGAAAATATTATAGCTTAAAGCAGTGTAGTTTTAAATATACAAATGCGAAACACCACCCATATAAAGTAATTGCTGAGCTTTTACTTGATTGTTCAAAATTAAAAACGATTAACAAAATTACTATTTTGTACATAAATTATATTTCATATAACATAAGCGTTGCATTACAATACACTTTGTTCATAATCTTCGTTCATTAATTTTCTTGAATATAGTCTGGTTAACGCTAAGAGTAAAACAAGATTCTGTTTAGATGTCCCGATAGTCACAGGTGGAGGCTTAGAGAGTACGTAACGTAACAATACTAAAATCAGATATAACAATGTCATGTACAATAACATGTCGAATTAATTGTTCGCTGCACGCTTTCTAGTTTCATATGATACGTGCATGTGGTGCCCGCACCGTCTGCTCTGTTCTAATAAGCGGAAATTTTAAATTAAGTCAAATTGGAAAACAAAGAAAGCGTGCTTTGATTAATTGTGTGTCGCATCTCGGAGCCCTTCGTTTAAACACACCGATTTTCCACGTTCCAAAATATGACTCGCAGAAATGAGCGTTAACTAAGCGTGTCGAGTCGGTACTCAAAGTTTATAAATGGCACTTACACTGAACTGTTTTCAGGTTAAGACGCGTACTTTTTATTACTCATTACTGCTTAGAGATAGGTTTATGAGACTACAATTAAAGATTTATCAGAAATGGCAATTTCTAGTTAAGAAATAGATACCGATACAGCTCTTCAAGAAAACCGATCCAGTTTATGATTTGATTAAACCAATCTAATTTTAGCGCAGACAGTATCAGATATAAAAATATTGTTAATTTTAGTTCTGCGGCGTGTTTACCGCCCGTTTTGCGATCTTGTGTTCCGATCCCCGAGATAAAACTTAAAATACATGTTATCGTTATTCCCAAGTTACTTTATACGTTTCATAAGTAAGTTTTATTTTCATGCTGACTTGGTGAATGGCTGAGGAATAACTTAAACTAAGTTTAAGCTGCTCGTTAATCAGACGGTGGGAGTTATTAGAGTTAACTGAGGTTAATCGGCTACTATCGTGATTGCGAGCGATGGGTCAGACAACTACTTTTGTACATGCAATTTTAAATCCTAACGTGTTATGGGTTGTAAGGTTAAGAATTCATAATAGAAATATATGTCTGAAATATTTTATTCCTTGCGAAAATGTGTGTATTGTTTTGATTCCGTTTTACGGACAACTATTCTTGTAGAATAGTTGCATCCTAAACTTTAAATATCTGCTTACTGTTACGTCTTATTTAGATAATGAGTTTCCTTAAAATACATTCGTCTAAAGGAAAATTCCTTTCTATTCCTTTGAAAGAATCACTGGTAATATTATCACGAGAAGCTCAGCATTCTTGTTAGATACTTGTTAGACACACGCTACTTGTTTAGAAAACACCACAGACATAGAAACTAATAGATTTAAAAAGCTAAGAAGACCTACTTGAAATTATTTCAAATTTCTATTTCATGCCGCCATTATCCATAATTTATTTTATAATTTCACGCACTAGTAAATTACTGTTGCAATTTTTTTTACCAATTATTATATTGTAGGTAATGTTTTTTTGCCAAATTACTTTAAGCTTTCGTGGGTAGGCAGAGGAAAAGAAAAGAGCTTTGTTTAATTCACGTAATTACCTTATTACGTCGAATTTATTTAGATTGCTAGTAGTTAAGTACTTTGTTGGGTTATTGAATAAAACAACGTGTAATGATGGTGTTTACAAGTAATTCCGTGGTCGCTGATTGATTGGTTGGAGGTGATCTGACGTCAGTCGACGGGAACCTCTACTCTGCAATTATGCACCTTTCGGTTGTCATGTCCTGACGTAATCTGGGTGCATGTGAATTAAATATAGCAGAGATTGCATCTTGCATCACTTTGTATTCTTGATACCTATATATGTTAGTTTTAAACATAATGAATATATTTTCACAGTTACTTACAGTACTTATCGTCAATAAGTAGGTACTTACCTACCAATTGCAATATAGTAAATGAGTTGTGTGAATAGGTACATTACATCTGTGTAGGAATACATTAA